GGGACTATGTTGTTTCTATCAAGGTATGTTTCTTATTAACTTAGCTTAGGGTAAATCTGACCAGGGACAGAACCTCCCCCCTCTCCTACTTGACTTCTTTGCACACTTTCTTCCGCTTTGGGATGGCTCTGGACGTCGCGAGGCCATGTTTGAGATCTTGTCTTACTCCCCATTACTGGACTTTCAAGGTCAGTCCAAGCCGCTCCAAACTCCCTCGCCACGCTAACACTCACCAGGACTATACAAACACGTCTTCCAACCCCTTGAAGCTGCAACCCTTGATAATACCGCAGAATCTCAGCTAGCCCTTCTCGCCCTGTACAAGAACCTCCTTCGCCACTGGACAGTTGTGCTTGAATCCAGTGACACTGTACCAGACCACGCCAGTGATACCGTCACAGCCTTGGTCCGACACGCTAACCCCCTGGCCCTCACACTCTCCCAGACATATCCTTCTGTCTCATCACATTCTGCAATCCTTGACTTCTACGAGCAAAACGCCAGACTCGTCAGCCACGAAGTCCTCAAGCACTACATTCGCATCGAACTACCCCCTTCATCCCTCATCTACATACTCTTCTTCAGCAGTTCTGTGGCCATTGTCTCACGTATCTGTGCCATTCTTGCCTTTTATAAGAAGGGTTTCGAGATGGCCATGCTCACCAGGCCGGGTCGTGAGAAAAGCAACCGCATTGACTCCACATCATATAACAGGACTTTTGTCAGCCTATTCAATGGCTTCCTCATGGATATGTGCAATTGCTTCTGGCGCGGCCGGGCATTTACTAACAGCGACCCCAACGCACTCGGATGTATGATTCCGAGGAGTCTCGTGCCTGTTCTGTCGTCGTACGTGACTTCTGTGGACAAGGCTCATACTCTAGCATCTCTCTTCTCATTATCACACTCGCCACTCTTGAGCTTGCAAAGCCGACGGTGTATCAGAAGTCTTGAGAATGTTGAGATTGATAGCGATACATCTTTACGCATCAGGCATGAGGGGCCACCGACACAAAGTAGCCTTGGGCAACTGGCAAGTTCCGGGGGTTTACGCATCTCGTGGCAGGATTATAGGATCAAGGTACTCGAGGCACTGACTGCTAGAGAACTTGGGGGTATTACAGATCTCTTGAAGAACACAATGACAGTTCTGAGGAAATTAATAGACGGCGAGGGCAGCTCCAGGCCAACCACGTCGCAGTCATTTCAATGAATGATGAGTAAATGAATATTTTATCCTTTGTACTATACGTTCTATTATGATCAGACTTGTCGAGTTGAGGCGGAAACAGTCTGCGATCTTGGTTGAAATGTACCATACCAAGCACTCCCAGTGCCATATCGCTCCTTCGTCATGCATGAAGTGTTGAAAAGAACAAACGCCGCAGAATACAGGGTTGAGAACTGTTTCCCTTCGAGCCGAACGCCATGCATGAGTGACCAATGCCACCAAATTCTCCCTTTTGTCGCTATCCTACGCCGAGAAATGCAGTTGAGTGCTATCCGTCTTTCCGAACTCCTACCCGAAAACAAATGAAACTCGGGGCGATTGTTAAGAATGCCCTGATAGAAGTCCTCGCAAGGAATGGTTTATGCTTCGCGCTGCTTGGACTCGTCGCCATAGCCACCGATCTGGATGCCTCCAAAGCCATAGGTCTTGCCTTCAGGGCCGCGTTTCATATTGCTTCGTGGTCCTCGCTCCTTCAAGTCCTCTCGAAGCCAGCTCAGGACGAGTTCTCCGAGACGGCTATTACCAGAGGCACCCACAGTGCCATCGATGGTGGCGAGCATCCTGTCGGCCTCGTCCCACTCCTTAACAGTACCAAGGTGCATATGGGCAAGGTGAGTAGGCCAACCAGCGAGGTTATCCAGAATATGAGTAGCGTAGACGATGGTACATTCTCGAATCTCCGTCTCACGCTTGAGCCAGGCCAGGAACTCAGCACGGCTCAGAACGTCAAGATCGACAGTGATTTCATCGAGAAGTAGAACCGTCCAAGGTCTCAGCAGACCCATGGCAAGCTGGACCCGACGACGCTCACCATCTGAGACAGCATGCATACGCCAGTTGGTGTCGACGTCAAGCATTGCGACGAGCTCGTCTCGGCGATCAGGGTACGCATCGCCACCAACAGAGCGAAGCAACTCATTGACGCCGATGTCGGTTCGAACAATGGGGTTGAGAACCCATTCCAGACCAAGATAGGTGACTCCCTCAAGACCCTCCTTGAAAGGATCTACACCGCAAATAGAGATGGTGTCACTGGGCGCAAGACGTTTGCCGGCAAGGAGACGAAGCAGAGTTGTCTTACCAGCTCCGTTAGCACCGATCAGAAGGGTACGAGACCGCGGAGGAAGATCCAAAGTGATGTTATTGACACCAGTCGAGTAGTCGGGGAACGTGTATGAGAGGTTGTTTACTTCAACACGGGGAGGCTTAGGAGGAGGTGTCATGATGAGTTTAAGAAGTGGTGACGCTTTGGATGAGAGGAGAAGAGTTGAAGAAGGATGGTAAAAATGAAGGGTCAGGACAACGGGAAGAGGATTGAAAGGATGTCTTGAACCTAAAACTTGCGAGGTTATGGTATTTATATGATCAGATAGTGCGTGTCATGACAATGGCCAGTCAGAGATTTCTCTTCCCCCTCCAAGTTAGGTACAATACGAAGATTGGTCACCTCAGCCGGTGACAGGCGGGATCCGTTGGACATGAGATTCCTACCTGCCATCTTGAACCCCGCCATCTTTCATGGTCGCGCTCCACTATCGTTATCGTTTCCCAGTTAGAACCCACCGCCTAAGATCCAGCACGTCATGACGCCTGGGACCCAATGAGTCCCTTAATAGTGGAACGCTTGTCCACTAACGGGCGCTATCAGTCCCCTTATCCGTTGCCTAGCCACTTTACGCCAATTCGCGTCTAATCGCAGACCAAGCTTCCCGACGCGTTTTCATTCCACAGATGGAAGCTTCAGTTTAACTGTTTGCCAAGTCAATTACACGAGTACGATACATAACAACAGTTCGTCACTGCCTACAACTTCTAGGACTTCCTTCAGCCACTTCCTTTATACCCCCAACCTCCAAATACCCCCATTTCGGGGCCACTCAGCATGGTGACCCTCGAAGATGTCGAAGGGAGCCTCTTGCGAAAGCCCTCGTAAGCTGTGTTTTTGATACTTATTCAAGCAAGCACTGGACTGACTCGATTCTTCCAGCGAAACTTCTCACCAAGTTCCTTCTCGGAGCACCTCCGTTTACAAGCCCCTGCAATCCTTTGTCCTCGATAAGCAACGCTCTTACCAGCAGCAGTATGGCGACATGTACTTTTTGCGCCTCACCAAGATAAAACCAGCTGTTGATAAAGTAGCCGCAGAAGCTTGGACAGGTACAACCATTGGTGAAGAGGAAGCACAGAGAGTTGAACGAGTGCTCGATGTTCGGCAGGGAGAGCTGTGCTGGGTGACCGGCACCGTATACATGGAGATGCCACTGAAGCCGAATATTCTGGAGGACGTGTCCAAGGATGTATGTCATATTCGTTGTCGATCGATTGTGAAATGGAGTGTTAATGTGTCTGTAGCGTTGGATCTCCGCCCCTATTCTGACACCAAAATATTTCTCCGAAGACGACCAGGTCATGTTGGAGGACGAGTCAGGCCGCATCAGGCTGGTTGGCGATGTGCTGAAGACCGTAAACTTGGTCACAGGATGTATCATCGGGGTCATGGGTACCGAAAACGCCAACGGCGAATTAGAGGTCATTGACATCAAATTCCCTGATCTTCCTCCGCAACCTGACCGTTGGAGCCTTTCGAAGCCTAATTTAGATAAGGCCAAGACAAAGGATGAAGATGAGGATATGGCTGATGGTTCTGAAGCCAAGAAGGGCAACAGCAAGATTGCTATCGTGTCTGGCTTGTCTTTCTCAGACACCGATGCTTCCCACACTCTTGAGCTCGAACTTCTTCTAGAGTACTTGCTCGGTGAAGCTATGACCCCTTTAAGCCAGGTCGATGTCTCTCATATCAGCCGCCTTATCATCGCAGGAAACTCTATCTCAACAACAGACCGCAAACCTCCCGCTGCAGACGAGGCGCTCCTAGAAAAGAAGGCCCAGAAGAAGTATGGCTACGACGCCAGTGCCTACAACCCACTTCCCTCTCAACTCTTCGATGCTTTCGTCGCCGAACTTCTCCCATCTATTCCCATCACGATGCTCCCTGGTGCTCAGGATCCAGCGAATGCTAGTTACCCGCAGCAACCTGTGCATCCGGCAATGTTCCCTTCGGCACGAGCGTATGCCCGTGACCCAACAGCTCCAGCCACCCAACCAGGCTGGTTTGACACTGTCACAAATCCGTGGGAGGCCGAGCTCGAAGGATGGAGGTTTCTAGGTACTGGTGGCCAAAATGTCGACGATATTTTCAAGTATGTCGGCAGCGATGATCGTCTTGGCATGATGGAGGCTATGTGTCGATGGCGTTGCTGTGCCCCGACTGCACCCGATACGCTTTGTAAGCGCATGCCTACCCGATTTTTGATGTCTCAAAGCTAATACACTGCGTAGGGAGCTACCCGTTCCAGGAAGATGACCCTTTTGTGATGCAGACTTGCCCTCACCTCTATTTCGTTGGGAACCAGCCGCAATTCTCAACCAAGGTTATCCACGGCCCCGAGGGTCAGTCAGTGAGACTTGTAACCGTCCCGAGTTTTGCAGAAACAAAGGAGTTAGTGTTGGTCGATGCAGAAACACTTGCGGTAGAGAGGGTCAAGATATCTAGAACATAAGGCTATCATAGAATGGATATGATGTATAAAATAGGTATGACGAGATACCCCGAACTGTAGTTGACTAAGTACGCTAAGCCACCTTTTTGAGCAAGTCGATCGATCATTCATCTGTCCACTTCTTAGAAGAGCATTCGCCTCGCCTTGTCCCTTACTTGCTGCTTCCACTATGGCACGCATCAATCTTTCACCGATCATAGAAATCCATCTTAAGCCTCATAGTCCGAATCATGGTCACTCGGCTGCACAAAATCCTGGTCTTCTTCCTCTTCTTCCTCGCTCTCATCCGACTCATCGTGTTCGTAGATGTTCCAATCGTCTTCATCATCGTCAATCGCTCCAGGTGGAGCACGTGTGTTGCTCCGCTTGTCATCGTCGTCCTGGACGTGCTTCTCGCAAGCCTGGAGAATGAATTTGTTGAGTTTAGCCATTTTGTGGTGGATCCAACAAAGTTTGTTGAAGCGGAAGTTCTTCATCTTAGCATCCGTTTTGAAAAGGTCCCTACTCTGACCCTTGCCGTCTCTGTCATTGATTTTATCATTTCTCTTGTCCTCAAGCTCCTGCAACGCGAGTTGTCTGTGAAATCGCAGCTGGTGGGTACGAAGAACGAGATCAGTTGAGGAGGGCCAGACACCATTGTTGAGAAGCTTGTTCAAGATATGAACATGTATGACCTCACAATGTAGCGACTTCAATGCTACCATCAACTCCGAGGCTGGCTCGAAAAAGTCGACAAAGGTGAACTTGCCATGTTCGAAACTGGGGCTGATGATGATCTTGAGCGTGTGGATGTTGGCATTGTAAGGGGCTTTGGCAAACATCTTAATGGCGTCGGCCATGAATTCCTTCGTGCTCGGAGTGGAGCGGTTGGAATCGGCCTCGACCGTAATGAGGCGAAAGTACTGGGCGTATTTGACAGTGTCGATAGTTCCAGGCTCGTGAATTGGCTGTGCCAGGGGGTTGGCGTCTTTGTTGGCAATGCTTTCCTGGTCTATCATGCCGGGCTCAGGGACATAGATGTCGGCATTGGCTAGGTCCTGGATGTTGGCCATCTCGTGAGATCGAGTAGGCGCATCCCGAAGACGGTAGAGAAAGGTGTTTTCGCCGTACATGACGCCTCTCGCTTCAGCAAAGACTTTCTTGCTCACCATGAGGATGTTGATGTCAAGGCCAGGTTTCTCTCGCTGGTACACACGCCTCCAGCTGCCGTAAACAGGAATAGGCTTGTGCGACACAAGGAGGCCTCGATAGATTTGCTCACGAACCTCTGCAGGAAAGCCCATGAAGCTGAGACGTCTGGGGTGCTTGACCTTGATTCTGATAGGGAGTCTAGGTCGAGGCTCTGGAACCGGAGAATTGCGGATAACACGGCGATGACCTCGTTGAGTACGGTTGTGATGACGGGCAGGAGTAGAATTGACGTTCTTCGCCAGCAGCACGAGAGCCCTGCCTCGACGCGAACCTGGATACCTTTGATAGGCATTGGGGATAGAGGGAGGGGGTGCCGTCTCATTTTCGTCAAACGATTCTTCTTCAGGACTTGCCTGGCGTGGTCCCCAGACAAATTGACTCGTGGGGATGCCAAAGTCCTTGGTGAAATCCTTCAAGACGGGCGCTTCGATATTCATCTTGTTGTTGTTGGACGATTTAACTATCTGTGAGTCTTTGTCGGGTTGAGGCTTATAACGCTTCTTGGGGCGTTCATTGTTGGTGGTTATTGGGCTTCTCTTAGTGCCGATTGAAGCGGCTGAGTCGCCCGAGGAGGATGGGCTACCTGGTGCGGACGGGCTACCCGAGGAAGATGAACTGCTTGGGGAGGATGAGCAGATCGTAGATCGAGTGACCTGGCCAACTTGAGCCCTGGTCATTGTCTTCTGCTTGACGTTGCATGTGGGCGCCATGGTGTGCAATCGAGATGCAGAATCTCGAAAGAAGGTGGGATGGCTTTGAGGGAGGGCAAGGAGGAAATGAAATGAGTAATGTTGGGCAGAGAAGCAGTGGTGTTGTGGGGAAGATGTGAAGAGATGAACGTGGAGGAAAGGAAGAGGGCTCTTTTATATTGAGGCAAGGGGCCGGTGATTCACTGCTGCATTTCGACAAGCACTAGATGAAGAGACACTTAATTTTATAAAGTTATGTAACTTGTCATAATATTTCATCCATTTCCCCTTGCCCACATGTTTTTCAGTTATTCCTATTCAACTGGTTCAGCCCCTTCTTAGATTGCCGACATGAGAAGACTACAGATAGGCTCTTCGCATCCCTACATTTCTAGGTTCAGGCATGAAACCAATTCCCAAAAGGTGACTTTGTTAACCTTTCGGAATAAAAAATAGAGAGAACACAAGTTTAAAATAACTGACATCGAGAGGCATGACGCAGTATAGTTGCGACTAGGGGGCCAGTTTTACCACCACCGAACCTAAAGTGTATAAAGGACAAACCCGTATTAACGACAGGAAGAGAGTAGCGAAACAGATACCAAATCAGAAGGAAGTCGGTAATACTGCACAAAGAGAGAATCGAAGAAAGCGTATCGAGAAGATGAATCCAGAGCAGTACGCTGACTTTAGGAACAAGACAAACTAGCACTCCGCGAGGACCCAGGACAAACGCAATGAGGCTATGACTGCAGATGGATTGAAGAAGCATGACAAAGAACGTTATGTAAACCACGAGGAGAAAAAACGAAGGTACTGAGGCTATAATGACAGTAGGCCAATTACAAGGGAAGCGCGATAGGTTAAAAGAGATGAAGAACATATCGTGGGTCAGGCATCTCAAGAACATAACGCCAGATCAGCATGTAATGGCAGGATCAAACGGTCCGCCACGCCAGGGAGAACTAACAGAAACATAAAACGAACTTGACACCAAATGAGTTACAGAAGTCCAAGAAACGACGCCAAGGAGGCCGTCCAAGAGTATATCAAGGTTGTGGACGACAGGCTCACCGACCGAGAACTTTAGCAAGTGTTGAGAGACAAATGTGTTAACATCTAGCTCACTCCCACTGAGTGAACTCTCGACCAAGTTTTCAACAGCATGAATCTACAGAGTTCTCCTATTGAAGGTGTGCTCGGGAGATGCGTAATGGTTCATGGAACAAATCATTCCACAGAAGTTAGGGCCTCATGAACGCTTGAAGGGCCTGACTAGAAGGTCATCTTTATAATGTGCTTGAAGAGAACTTGTGAGAGTGCATGTTTACAAGGTATTTGCGAACAGTGTATCGATGATTACCTGCCCAGTCACTTGCTCTACCCCTAGGCAAAGAACGAACAATTATGGGTACAATAGCTTGCTGGAGATAGTTGCAATGAAAGTTGTAAGAAGATGTTTTTGAAGGTCATATATTCAAAATCAACACATCGAGGCCAAGTGGCAGGAGAAATGTCAAAAAGTCTTAGAGCATAGCCACCGGTCGTCTTCCAGTAGGTATCTTTAAGTTCAGCGCCCATGATGCATACTTCTTTTCGGCGTCTAAAGTGATCTCGTCAGTTGAGGATCAAGGCTAGCTGACATTCGGTGTTTTTAAACGATTGCTTCAGTACAAGGATGTCAGCGCATTCCTATAATAAACGCAGATTGCAACGCCCAACGATTCTGTCTCCATATTGCGTTGATTGAATTACTTAAGAATGAATCTTCCCATGAGTTAGTAGTGTTGCGTAAACTATGACTAGCGATTCGAAGTTATCAAGGTCAACGACTGTTGAGCTCTTCTTTGCATTTCTCTATACGTGCTTGGTGTCAGGCGACATTCTTTTCGGTTGGCCTGCCGCTCATTATATGAACTACTGTGTCAAGCCAATTAGAGGGTTGTATCCCGGATTCAAACTCGTAGAGATTCTAGGGTCGTATTACATACATTGGTTAAAGCGGAAGTAAACTCTCTCTTTCATCTGACTCAGACAGTCAAAAGCTAGAACCGTTTCGAAGGATTGAGATGCACTTGTCTCTGTATTCGCGCCTTTCGTTTGGCAAGTGGATACAAGCGATGGAAATATTTGGGGTTTAATGCCAAACTCCGCAGTGCGCTAAAAACAGAAATTCAATAAGAGACTCAGCGGTGTTCTACGGAGTCTTTGTGGTTCTTACTTGGCAACTAGGTATCTATAAAGACTAGTATAGCCTTTTTCTGCTGACTCTTTATCTCTTTATATTCATGAAATTCTGATCACAACACACTGTTCTTCTGAATCGTCTTTACTTGCCATCTTGATCCATTATCGGAGTCGAAAGTGGCAATAGGATAGCACCTCAAACTTTCAGCAAAGGCGATCAATCCAATTGCAATCATGGGCTCTCTCGGTTCCGACGCAAAGCTACCATGGATCCGGACACCCTGTCTCTTAAATCCTCAACTGTCCCGCGTTGCAGGCTGGTGAGCTTTCCCGTCACAACTGAGATCAATTCCACTGACATCATCTCAGCAATGTTTATCTTAAGCTTGAGAATCTTCAACCCTCGGGCTCCTTCAAGTCCCGCGGCATTGGTAACCTTATGACCCAAGCAGCAGCCGCTGCCACAGGTCCTGTCCACTTCTACTGCTCCTCTGGCGGCAACGCTGGTCTGGCATGTGCAACTTCTGCCATTTCTCTGGGCCAAAAGGCGACTATTGTCATTCCTACCATAATTACTGAGCTCATGAAGGGCAAGCTTCTTGATCTCGGGGTGGAAGTACACCAAAAAGGCAGGAATTGGGCTGAGTGCGACAAGTATATGCGTGAGGAGCTATTGGCAAATGATCCCGTGGGCATTTACGTCCCGCCTTTCGACGATCCTCGGGTTTGGGATGGTGCAGCGACTATGGTTGATGAGATCCGAGATCAGCTCCAAGAGCCCATTGAAGGGATTGTCTGTAGTGTCGGAGGAGGCGGTTTGATCAATGGTCTGATGCAAGGCGTCGAGGGCCGTCCTTGGCAAGATAAGAAACCAGCTGTTGTGGCCGTCGAAACGAAGGGAGCCGACAGTCTCAACGCAAGTGTCCTTGCCAAAGAACACGTAACACTGCCTGAGATGACCTCGATCGCAACGTCTCTAGGCGCCACTAGAGTGTCAGAGCAAACTTGGAAATGGAGCCAGCATTCTTCAGGTACTATGAAGAGTCTCGTTGTGTCTGATGCCGACGCTGCCATCAGTGCCGTGCGCTTCGCCGACGATGGGCTCCATCTGGTTGAAGTCGCATGCGGTGCTGCCCTGGCCCCTGCTTATCGTGGGGACTTGAGAAGGGTGCTTGGCCAGGGCCTTTCCGATGAGGAATGGAGTATGAAGAACGTGGTGATCGTGCTTTGTGGTGGCTCGAACGTTACTTTGGGCATGCTGAATGAATATCGGGATAAGTATCGAGGGGAGTCCTTGATCAAGATCTGAGAGAGTCCCATTGAACATATACATATACACATAGAATCTCGTACGGTAGTAAACAAATAGCCAGTTCATTGTCAGCACTTTCTCACAAGCTGTATATTGTTACCCGTATTTCTGGCTCGCTAGTCAAGTGCCCCTATTGCGCCAAACTCCGAGATGCCCTCCCACAAGTCTAACGTTTGCTCGCACCCCCTCTACCCTTGCCAGTTCCCTTTTCTGCCTTGGCCTGGTCAACAAACTCTTTCATGATCTGATGCAAGTCGGGATTTTTTCTGGCGAGAAGTAACACATCGTCTGTTGTCACTGTGGATCGCCCAGCGTGGTTGCTGAAACTCTCAAGATCTGTGGCAACGTTTTCTGTTTTTCGTTAGCATCCTTTACCGATACTAAAGCGAGAATAGCCATTTCAAATACCGATTTGTGTCCAGACTAGCTCTGTGAGTGCGCCGATGAATTGTGGTGTAGCATTTCGGTTGCGACGTAAGGACTCTTCATCAACTATTTGACCGACTGCATACCACAAGGCAGCCTTGAGGCGCTACATTCGATTGATCAGCTACCAGTGCGATGTTGTCAGAAATAAAGCAAAGTGTCTTACCTCTCGATCTTCGTCACTGGTTGTGTCTGCCATCTTGACTTTTGTTTTGCTGGGATAATGTGGCTTCAGTTGTTTGATGAAAGATAGCCTACTATTAAACGTGTTTAGACGCGTCGTGGGGGTAGTAGCATGTTGCACCACACGGCGGGGTACGATGCGAAAGACCATAGAACTTCGCTGACAATTTGTACAAAGGAAACTCTCCGCCTGAAACAACAATTTCGACCTGAGAGATGAGAGAAGTGGTTTAGTATTATTCTGGAGCTGATAGTAATACATTTGAGACAATCACGGACGTTGTGTTCTTGTGCTCTGCATATGCTCTGTATTCGCCAGACAAGCACATAGACTAGTCAATACCTGGTGATACTTGTTCAATGGAAATAATGCCGACTTGACTGTAAGAGCGTCTTCTCTTCATAGTTTCCTAGTTAAATGAGATAGAGTGGAATACCAGGCTCCCATGGCCAAGAAGCTGTAAAGCAAATCAAGGCCGTTGAGAAAAGAAAACAGCTAATGCAGGGACATCCAGATTCCTTTCGAACCTTGAGAGAGACGGCATGGCATACCCTTGTCACGATTTTCGAAGCTTGACCAGTTCTTAATAAACCTTTCGGCAGTTCTTGACCCCCCCTGCCCATCTCTTCTTGTTCAGTCGTGGTCTAACAAGTAAGTATAACTTCCAGTTGAGCTGATCTCCCGACTCAGTCGTCATTGGCGTTCAAGTTTTTCAAGGTTGACATCATCAGAAACCTGAGACTGATGATCGACAATAGGTAGTCTGCTCCACCGAATATAGGTGAAAACTCTATCGGTATATTATCTAGTTCATCAACATTCGTGGAACAATTGAATTGGATGTTCGTTTGCTTGGAAGATCTAATTGTATTCTTTCTCTCATTCAAGAATGACTCTATTGGATGATCAAATAGGTACGGATAGATGATTAAGAAGCTTATCAGGGCAACCATCGATACCCGCAATTCTCCTCCACAATTTCGACCCATCCAAGCCACACCGCGCCAGCATCTCCACTCCCGAAACAAAGGCTGTGCACCCTTTTCATCCAATCACAGGTATGTAAGCCACACACCCAACGTCGTCATCACCAGATTCGGCCGCTTTAGCATCGCCACTCTTAATGCGATCAACAGAAACTCGGCCACTTCCACACAATCAGATGCTTTGCAAATAGCGCTGGGAGGGCCCCCAGCTACGTAATAATGGATGTCTTGCGCAAGCTTAGTGTCCCTACATCAGAAACCACTTAAACCCCGAATTCCTCACCCAGTTTACCTCTCCCCTCCATGAACCTTAATTCTCGCATCTTCGTTATTCTTTAACAATATTCGTATAAACTACTACTCCTAAGTAACCATGGGCGCAAAATCGGGAACCGCTCTCAAGTTCCTTCAGTGGTTCATTCGTGGTATTCAATTTGCCTGTGCAGCCCTCATCCTCGCCATCTACTCCTACTTCTTAGCCACGCTCCATAACCACAACCTACACATCAGCGATACCATCCGCGCTGTAGAGGGTATTTCCGGTGTGGCTGTTCTCTATACTGCCGCAGCTCTGGTACTCGTTTGTTGCCTCGCTGGTCGTACTCTTTCCTCTCTCTTCGCGATTATCTTGGATGTCGCATTCATCGGCGCATTCATTTATGTTGCTGTTGCCAACAAGGGTGGTGCGAGCAGCTGCACTGGCTATCTCGACACTCCCTTCGGTAAAGGAAAAGCTGGAAACACTGCTGAGGGAAGTGATGGATTCACTGCTTTGCCAAGTTACCGCACCGCTTGCAAGCTCCAGTCTGCTTGTCTAGCTGTTTCCATCATTGCCATGTAAGTCACAAATCCCAGACTGATATATATCACAATTGACAGTTCAACAGTATCTTCTTTATATTCTCCATCGTGATTGAGGTTGCCCTTGCACGTCACCACCGCAAGGAGAAGCGCTTCGGCCCTAGCCCTGCTAACGATTACACCTCGGGCTATGGCGCCAAAGGTGGTTTCTTGGGCCGTCTTTTCCGTCGTCGCAAGACTGCTGCTGCCGAAGAAGGTCATGACTTGCCGGAGCATACTCATCCTGATCAGCTCGATACATATCGCCAGAGCCATACTACCGATCGCACCGCCGTCAACAACTACCCTGACAATACCTACAACAAGTACGACAACAACGGCTTCAGTTACCAAGACCCCAAGTACGGACGCCAGGATGGGTATGGCCAGATTCACTACCCTGAGCCCGAGTATGGTGTCACTCAGCCGTCCGCTCGTCAGACCGAGAATCCAAACTATCGCTATGAAGACGGTGTCTACGACCGCACCTAAAAGTGAAAAAAGAAAAAGAAAAATGGGAATCCGACTTGGAAAACTGCACAGAATGATACCCAGAATGTTGCTCCCGGCAAAAGCAATAGGTCACTCATGAACATACTTAACACATCATGATAGATAATAGGGCTTGGTAAGCCCGCTTAATGATTAATTATATACATATTGTTGCCTCCTCAAAACGGGATGCTAGTGATGAGCCACGTTTTTCCATTGATGAATGTCCAATCTAATGACGCCCTGCTGACTTTTATGACATTTAACTCAATCGTTCATTTTAATTTTTCTATGCGGTCTCTTAAGGCGTGAAACACTAGGCCCTGATACTCGCAGAGCCAGGCTTAAAATAGGTATCTAGGTGGTTGGACTTTTACAATCCGGGCCAAAAAGCTAATGAAATGGGAAACCCATATACTTTAACTCTTCGCGGAGAGTAAACAAACAACTTGCTGTTTGTCAATTGCCATATCAATCAAAAACGCCCAAGCAAGAACCCCTTTATGTGACAAGTTTACCAGACCTCGCCCGGCTCTAGCTCACTCATGCCATCGTCACCTCCCCCATCTGTCCAGTTCAACTCCAGCTTCTCAAGCTCCCTCGAGAAAAAGTCCTGCTCGTCTCGCATGGCAGCTCGGATGTCTGGTGCGATCTTGTCTGGGTACCGGCGAAGATTAAGCCAATGTGTAAGACTGCGCAGCGCTTGTTCTAGGGGAAGCGCTGCGTCAACTTCGGCATCCACGTCACTTCCTGCAAGCCATTCGTCCTTCAGCTCCGGTCGACAGTGCAGATATATCGCCGTGATCACCCGCATATTGCTCTGGCGCCACTTGCGGCCGCAGTAAGGGACCTGGTTCTTGAACAGCTTAAGCGTGTAAAGGCGTAGCTCTGGCTGAGGTACTTTAAGAGACTTCCTAAGGATTGTTGACGACTTGTATTGGACAAGCAGCAAGTTTCGGTGTGCTTTGTTTTTGCAAATTTTTTGCATCACTCTCAAGTAGTTAATGAGGGAGAAGAAGTTGCGGCGTGAAAAATCTGTGATAGGCTCCGTCGGTTGTTGATTGAGCGGATAGCCGAGTTCGTCTACTTCAGGTCTCGTTGAAGAAGCGTGGCCATCACTATTGGAATCTGTGTCATCGCCATTTTGCGTAGTTGGCGATCGTCTTCTCCTGATCGGCGGGGGCGCAGCTTCGTCTTCACTCTCCTCTATCTCTTCGTCATCCCCTTCATCGTCTTCCTGCACCGAGTCTGCAGCTGCCTTATCTCTAGATTGCGACAACAGGTTACAAAAGTGGAAGAAACTAGGAAAATTAGCAGGCTGATTCTAAAGTTCTATGCAGTACTCCATACCTATTCTCAGCGCGGTCCATTTTGCTATCGACCACTTGCTGAACATCTTGATGAGCAAAGAGCTTAAGGACGAGAGGGACGTAGTTAGAGTCTAATAGAAGTTGCGTCATGTATTCGAATTTGAGAACATCTGATTCATGTGAGCAAAGAAGACAATTGAATAAACTTGATCAACGTACGAGAAACTCTCAGCCATTTCAACAGAAGTATGAGAATCCCAGTCATGGCTTTCGACGTAATTTCCCGCGTTCTGGCAGCGTCAACTTCTTCTAGTGATAATTCTGGTGTCGGTGGTTTTGGGGGGTTCTGTCCGGGCAGTTCCTGTTGCTGTCTATTCGCCGAAGGGCCGCCGTTCATGCCAGGATTGTTACCTCTACCCATTCCTGGGGGTCCTTGTTGAGGTTGCTGTGCGACGATTGCTGTCACGTTAAGAAGAATCGGCCGCAGCAGGACTATCACAAGCGATTGGAGGTGAGGCAGAGCATCGCGCTAAACGTCGTTAGCATCTTCCCCATTTCCGTGATTCGTGTTTACCACTCACATAAAACTTTTCTACGGCAGCAAGGCGTTGCTTGTCCCGCTCAGACAACCGATCTGGTCGGGGGCCATAGTCAATCTCCGGTTCAGGAGCGATGGGATGCTTTCTCTTCTCCTCTGCTTTTGCCTCCGCTTTTATCTCCTTCAGGATCTCTTGGTCTTCTGGCGAAAGCTCATTAAGGTCTAGACCCTCGATCTCATCGTCATCGTCATTGTGGTCACTATTATAGCCGCGCTCAAACTTGAGGAATCGCTCGCGCTCTTCCCAGAGCTGGCGAGTCGCCCGCGTCATCCTGACTCGTTTTGAGAACAACTCTCCAGCTTCGAGGATGGAAGCGGGAATATCGCTTCCTTCCCACTTGCGGCCTACCAGAGCATGTTGGAGACCAGCAGGGCCTTTCCCGCCAGCAAAGTTGCTTGACGCATCTAAGGGAGGATACATGAAAGGGAAGTTCTGGTTTGTTTGATAGTTCTGTTTCTTGCCCCCTTTTCCGTTCACTGCCGGAGAAGGAGGTGGTGAGGGCGCTGGGGTTGCAATGTGTACTGGTTGGTCAAGAATCGAGGTTCCTCCACTGTGAACCTGGGGTGGCGCGGGAATGATACCGTTAGCACCGTTATTCCTTGAAACTTGACTCGAGAGAGGGGGCAACAAAGAGGTGTTATCTGCTTCAAGTGGAATAGCTGGTCGCGGAGGAACGTATGCTGGGTATTTCGATGTTATCTCTTGCCGGAAAACGTGATAGTCTAAGGGTGAAGCAGTGATGGTCGTCTTATCAGCTGCTTTGTCTCCCATCTCATTGGTAGCCTCTTTGATGGCTTCGAGCTCTTCAGTTCCACCAAAAACAAGTAGAATGGATTTCCAAAACAATAAGAGTATCTGTTAGAGAGTAAGCATGACGGCATGAAACACGACTGCCCAACATACCTGAGTTTGGGGCATGGCATTTTGCTCATCCCATCGTAATTTCGAAGTTGCTGTAAACATGTAGTCGACCAATGAGGGGTTAAGTTCCACTATTCCTATCAGTCACAGCCAGACACAAGACGAAGAGCAAACTTACAGAGCTTTCCGTATGTAGAGGACATGTCTTCTAGGTCATTGAGAGTTTCTTGTACTGCAACGTACATGATGGTCATGAGATTCATCAACTCATCTTGAGCTTCTTGGGCGCTGTTATGCTGCCCGAGGGGATCCCCTGACCTGTAACCTAGAGTCAGTATCGATTTGCAAAATGTACGGCAGGTTATACTCACCAGTGTACTTCAAAATTGTTCCGCAGAGCTTCCCAGATCACGGGCAGCCCTTCCAAAGAGCTAAGACACTCGACCCCTGCCTTGATAGCCTGCAGCTGCGAAATACTCGCGACAGATCGGCTATCCCCCGGTGTTGCATTCGGCATGGCAGTATCATTCCAACGGCCCAAAACCAGATACACCAGCTTCCCAATAGAAGCTGACCGTAATGCTGCATCGTTGGACTGCACGCCCGCAATAGCGGTTTGGACAAACCGTGTCCGGGTATCGTTATCTGCATCATCCCATGAGTCCTGAGATCTCGACTCATGCTTCCAGTGCCACTTAAAAGCTCTATGCGCAGCACTGAGTCTAACCCACTGTGGTACCTGATAGTTGAACCACTCGTCTATCTCTTCGGCATGCGGTCCCATGTCGGTGTACTCAAAATCATAGGCGACGGGATCGGCGCGATTAAATTCAGCTACTATATGACGCAATTGCTGGAGAGAGAGCGAGTCGGTCCCCGAAGGTTGGTCGTTTGAAGGAGGAGGCGCCATAGGCACGGCTGGAGGGGCGCCTTGTAGAGTGTTTCGCTCGAGGGGAGGCCGTGCTGCTATAGGCGGCGCAGGAACAGGTGGAAGATCGGGTTGTTCGGCCTCGCCGGCGAGGTCAACGATTTCGCCCGTGTCAGCGACATCTTCTATCGGAGTGTCAGGTCGCGCATCGTCTTGAGAGGCCCTCGGAGGCCAGACGTTGCTCATGGTGTTGGTCGGTTGCTCGTGAGGTTGATGTAAACAAATGCCCCGCCAAAGTCAATGTTTTTCGATTCGTTGCTTAAGCCATAGTGGAATCACTGCTTGATGAAATGTTGGTTACAAGAAAACGAGCATGCGACTTTGTCTCGGTCGATACTTTGAAGAGGCTGAAATGCAATGTTGAGTTAAAATGGTTGTGGACGTGGCCTGGTTGAGTAAATGGAAGAGGAGGGCAACCGACACCTCAGCCTTGGGAATTTGGAGTAACACCCGCCGAATATAATTGGCGGATGCTCTACTGATGCAGGCCCTGGCAGGTGCAACCAAGGGTCCATCCACTTCAACTTGTCATCGTAATGGCCGTGGTTATTAAATACTAACTTAGGACAACAACTATATATAAAAGAAATATTATAAGATAAAGCTATTAGGCTAAAATATGCTATAATATTATTAAATTTAAGCTCTTTTTAAAATATTTACTAAGACTTAAGAGACTTTTTATTTTAATTATTTCTTTTTTTTTTTTAAATACATTTTTAGAAACCTTTATATTAAAAAAACACCTATTAAAATAAATATAATATAATTTACTTGTAATTAAATTGGCCTATTTAAGTAAATTTATTAAGTAGTATTTTTCTTTATTAATAAGGCTCTCCACATAAAATCAACATAGTATTGAGCATCGAGACTCCGGGAAATTTCAGGCTCACTCAGAACCTGATGAATCTGAATTAGAGCCATCTCCATCTCCCTCTTTTGATACTTGTTTCTGTTCTTTTGCCTTTGCCCTTTTTCTCAGCTTCTTCAGCCGATTCATCCTCTTCTTCTTGTCTTTTATGTGCTCCTCTTTCTCGGCCATTTTCTTGACTTCGGCTGCCTTCCTCTCTTCCTTTTCCTTTGCTCGTTTTCTTAAGGATATCCGTTGTTTCTTTCCTGGTCGTCGTTTCCTTTGAGCCAATTCATCCTGTGCTTTTTCATCCGGCCTGGCTTTTCGAGTGATAGCGAGTTTCGTAACCTTCCAAGGAACCTCGAGGCCCCAAGCCCTGCCGTGTGATCTTGCCAACACTTGATCCCCGCTCACGGCTGCTACAGCATACTCATGCCTTCGTTCCGCAGAGATGTTTTTCACCACATAGTAAGTGAGTGGTCGACCGCTTACAAAGATTCCATCACCTGTTGGTCCAGTGTCTTCTTCCAGCACGACCTTTTGACTTGGCGGGGCTTTGCTGAAAAGTCGAAAAACGAATTCCTCTTCCTCATCATCCTCGGCAGCCAGAGTAACCTCTGGATCCCCCATATCGTCATCGCCGGACTCTTTGCCTCTTGTGAGAGAACAATCCTTCATCGCGACTTCAGGGGTTGGTTCTGCCAAGATTTCCAGCCCCAGTGATCTTGCGATCTGTGCATTCAGTTTTGCGCGCAACTCGGCATCGCGAATACCGTCGTCGCTCCAATTCTCTGCGCCATCATCTGATGCGTCCAGATCTTCTCTCCGAACCCTGACAAGCTAATTAATACTTGTATAATGAATCGACAAACAGACCATCAATCACCTCTTTGCTTCAGGCACTTCAAACATAGTGCTGTCTTTTTTGTCAAAGGTGGATAGCCGCAGGGGGCACGAGGTGAGATTCTAGGCAGGTTTCTCTCAATGTGAAAACAGCAACAAAGAGACTGCAGTGTCGTGGAGGGCCCAGACAATGCCTCATAGATAATTAAAAGAGACAGGCTAGCGGGGATATTTCGAGATGGTATGAAAATCTCTGGAGTCTGTTGGGCTGCTTCCATCAAAAGCCAAGGTGCTGTAAGCTGCAAAATCTCCATACCCCAAAATTCCGTGATGGCACTGTGTTATCTTATCGCCTCGCACCAGCCACATCTGCCTTAAGGTACCTGAGTACCTCAGATTGTGTGCGGATTCCATTGTACAGCCACCTCAAGTTTGAGAGCTTGCCTTTGATCAAGGTACTATATCAAGAGTTAGTCAGAAAGTTTAGTGCTACCAGCACCAGACAGAAATCGGAATGTCTCATAATTCCCCATTAATTAAAACTTGATTAGCTTCAATATAACATCAATCAAAGGATAACAAAAACCATCGATTTTCTGTTACACTCAACACTCCTTCTGCGCGCTAATCAACTTGACCTTCAGCTCTCCAGGTGAACCAATCAGAGTTCCTTCTGCCCTTGCATAACACATCTATCAACGACGCCATCCCCCACGATAGCCCTGCTTAGAGGCTCAAATACGGCCGGGTTATTGGGACATCAACTTGGCACAGCGCAAGCATGAGGGGGCATGTCATTAGATGGCCCGGGCCTCGGAGGGCCATTCAATGGTGCGACGTTCGTGTGACCTCAATTCTTGATCACTTCTAAGTATAAAGAGCCCAGAGCCCCAAGTCTGCAATGTAGTTCACAACACACAAGGTCAGCATTCAGTTTGAAGGGCTAATTTAAGGTAGGATGACTATTCATTTTGCAACACTACCCAACTATCGACTCAGACTTGCACCTCCTCCACAATAGTGATCCTAGTCAAACCAGTCACTCAAAAGCCCGAGGCAGTTTCTTCATCGCATTCCGATTGTTTTTAACTACTTCATCGATACATAAGGGAACTCGACCTCAGCGGCAACTCTTCAACATGCCGCTTGACAGAATAACTCCGCCCTATGACGGAACTGGTATAATCCGCAGATTCATACCCGCAGGAGAAAAATAATACGAAGAACGTTAACAAACAAAATCAGAGAAGATACGCCCTTGTTTCGCCTGACCCTTCCTTTAGCCCCAGACATGCAACAACGTCTCGAATCGTTGCAGAACCGGCCGCTCTTCATTAATGAGAGGTTTCGAGTTGACCAGTTCTCATCGTTCCCCAGCGTCATTAGCCTCTAGTCATCCGTTATCAATCCTCGTGTATCAGATCTTCTTTCTTCTCCGGCCAGTCCTTTTCACCTCGATTAACTCTTCATCATTCTTGCCTCTCTCCACCCGGCTCCGTCTACTTTCTGGTATCCATGTTTCAAATCAGTGCAAGCCGCCCAATTCAAATTGCCAACACCATCCGTCATAAAAATAGAAAAACTCCAGTAGGTATTGTTACAAGCTCACTGACAAACGAACCAAGCGCTCCACAAGTCCAGTGGTTATCATGCTTCTCGTTAGGCCAACATCTTTTGATGGCAACTTTTGTATATCGTCAAACGCGAGCTTCTTAACTGGGGATGAAATAAGACATAGAAGTCTAGTTCCCATTCCAGGAATATTGATGCATAGCATCAAAAGAGCCTCTCGTGGCTCCATTGTAGACCGATGAAGCCTGCGGCTGGCTCGATTCGGTCTTCGTTGGCGAAGTCCCCGCAGGTGTACTCTTGTACTCGTCTTGAGGGAAAGGGTATGGTCGAGATTCGGTAGTACTGGCATATGCCAGGTTCGTACTATGCTCCCCAGCCGCTGATGTCCAGGTATGCGCCGGCGCGTAGTAGTCCCTTGCAGGCACTGAAGGTGGCCCAGAAGTTTCTGGGTTGTAACTTGGCTGCGCAACCTCACTGGAACTCGGGTTCACTGGGGCATATGGGGCGTATCGATATTCCGGAGAGGCCTCGGTATTCGCGACTGAGCCCGCACTCCTTATCGAAGGATGGCTCATGTGTCGGGGGCTTTTCAAGGGCCTTGGGTTATCAACGTAACGAGGGATGTTCATTGCCTGCTCATGGCTGCCGAGCGGAGTGGTGTGTATCGATAACTGCGGGGGACCAGTCGTTGTCTGCATGTTATAAGTATACTGGGATCGGACTGGTGGGTGCTCCGAATCATTCGTTACCATGGATATGGGCACTGGGGGTTCCATCGATGATTGAATAGGCATTCCCTGTGATTCAGCAGGGAAACTGGCCGTACCAGCCAGAGGGCCCATTGTAGCCGCAGGATAAGTCTCTGCACCAGAGGTTGGGATGTGACCTAAGGGCACCTGGGCCGGCGGTGTCCCCCAAGTCGGATATGAGCTGCGTTTCAGTCAGTACGGCTCAAATCGAGATCCAGCCATGTAGATCCAGGCGTGAACTTACTTGGATCGTATTGGGCCCAACTGTGTGCCCGGGATCTTTGGCGCGTTGAAGGTAAAGGCTGTCCGTGGGAGCTGAGCGTCAATGCCTCTCGGTTTTGCTTCCTGGTGCTTTGCGCTCAAGGGACCTGCAACAACTCCCACTCCAGTTTCCACAAGGGCTTGTCCTCGGGATCCTGCACTGGATCCCAACAAAGGGATCTCCTTTCGAGCTTGAAAGTTGCGAGGGCTTCGACCTCTAACGACGATGGGCGCCGTTGTGGATTCCGTGAGCACAGTCTTCGTACCGTTGGCCAATGTTCCAACGACTTTGAGATGAAGAACGAAATGTTGCTGGAGCTCCTTTCGACGACCATTGTTTGCAGTCGCACTATGATCGTATTAGCATGCTGAGGTTGCCAGTGCAGCCAATGACTTACATTCTGAATTGAAGGCGGCGCCAGCCGATGGGGTACACAGCGTATTCGCCATCAGATTCTGTCCCATCGTCCTGGAAAGGAATTAGGGGCAGAGACTGCGGTTCTTGATCGGGGGTTTGGTTTGTCTCTGGTGAGTTTGGTGGTGGGGTTTTCCAAGGAATCACGATTAATCGGACCGGGTTGCCATCGACAGACTCAATGGCAGAAATAGTAACCTCCATGTTGCTGACTGCAACAGTCTCGCCAGATTCGGTGATCACAGAAAGTTGACCTCGTGGAGTAACAAGAGTGCCACTGATTTGAAATAGGTTTCTTCGGTAACAGGTCAACTCAGGCTGTCTAAGCGAGCCATCCGATGTATTCGCAGGCATTTCGGAGAGGAAGAACATCCCGTGGAGTTGAGCGGACAGCTCTAGTTGTTGCATGCGACCTTGCTGGTCGACAATGGTGTGTTTATCCTGTGTCCTCTTGAAGGCCAGGAGCTTGTGCTCGTGGCTGGCTGTCATCTTGGAGTTATCGTCACGAAGATCCTGAACAATTTCCTGGTAAGCAGGTGGCTCTGCTTCAGAGAAAGACCTCTTCAGGCTTGGGTAGCCGTGATGGGAGACAATTTCTGGGTGCGCAGGTCTGTCATATGCTTCTTGGTCGTCTTGGGGATATCGGCTGTAGGGGTAAGAGGGCTGATCCATCTCGGTATGGTTACTACTAGTCCGTCCTGGGAGCGGCGAAGAAGTTGATGGCATGGGATCTGCCACTCGACCTGGTATGTGTACTGAACCTCCGTAACTTGACCACATGCTCGAATGCCCTGGGTGTCCTCTCAAATCTGCCATAGTGGCCGGGTATGCCGTTGCGGTTGTCATGGGAGCATAACCTATTCAACTGTGCCGCTTCCTCAACCAGACCAAGTTGTCTGGACTTGACCCGTCACTAGTAACGTGGTCCTGAGAACATCAACGTCGATACAGATCAGGCCAAACAAGATAGTCGAGATAAAAGAATCTCGCGAGACGTGTTTGGCGCAAGTTGTGGTGGGAGCGAAGGAATAACACGATACTCAAGACACCAGGGAAGTAATGTTTGAGGTTGATGGTGCAAGTGTGTACTTGTATATGGAAATGGATGGTGGCCAGAGGAACGGCAGATGATGGAGGGGAGTGTTTAGTACAACACCCGGCACTGTCCCCAGGGTGGAGACCGAGTTTGACGGGGGGCTGTTTCGAGGTCCAGGCACAGGGACTTGGGTCAGTGCTGTGGACAAGACCTAGTAGTATCAAGTCCGGAGAGAGTTCTTAGTATAAGCTCGCACAAACAGTCATGAATGTCTGTGGGCTGGGAGACCACTTCAGCGCAAGCGGCCGTTCTTGGAAGGAGGACGGGGAGTGGAGGGGCGGATCTGAGAAACAAAACAGCCTGTTATGATATTGGAGGCTGATTTCATGCAAATACTTTGACAATGCTGGGTGACTTGGGTTCTTAATAGATGGCAATAATCTGTTCGACAACAGTGATGGTAAACATCAATGGGACCTTCAGCATAAGAGCATACGTAGTAGAAGATGAGCTTATTAAACGCTGTTTTCCTAGGAGACAAGCAGTTCTGGTAAGGTGGATGTATTAATGGAGTATGCAATGGAGCTTGGACAAAGCTATGCCCCAGAGGCTTTCTGATAGAGAGGGTCAGGTCCTGAGAGGACCGCAAACTGCCGGATACAGGCAGGATAGCAGAAGCAAAGGACATGACCGACAACGCCGGGGCTTTTGGGACCAGGACCTTCACACGAGGTAAGAGAAGACATCCCAGACACGCCCCAGCACGTAGCGTAGTCCCTTGCCATGCCATCCCCTCGTCAGCGTCTACCGAGGGGTTCGAGAACACCCCTGCTCGTCAAGCCCAGCACGAAAGAGAAAGCCATGTATGTACTGTTGACAAGTCATGACGCTAAAGTTTGGATAAGAGCATGGCATGCCCAACGCAAGGTCCACGTACTGGCTACTCCCATCCATGCTGGTTGGGATGAGATGGATAGAGCAAATGGGTCGAGCGGGGACACGGGGACTATCTCTTGAGGGCCCGGCAGCCCCCTCCCCCCTCAACCAAGCCGCCCTGTCCATAGCCAATCCTAAACCCTGACATTTGACCGGGGCACGTTGATTCTGAGAGAAGAATCCTCCGAGGCCTAGTGAAGGTTGCTGGCCCGCAAATTTCTAGAAAACCGTTGGACAGAGCTGTTATTAATGGGGCAAACTCAGAAAGCAAGGAGGTAAGGAAACAGAGGAAAACTCAGGTTTGAAGAGTTTTGCTATTGACCAGGGTTTTGCTTGTGTGCGGTTGACATTCGCCCATTGGCATCACGATCTGGCTGTGATAGCAATGCGCTGCGCTGCGCTGTGCTGTGCTGAGATTCCCTAATAGAGCATTAACACAGGGTGATATCACGCAAAAGGGACTGACTGCAGCTTATGATCTTGCCCGGTGAACTAAGGAATGGAGGCCCGGTTACAAGCCGGAGTAGGTATTTGAGTGTGATCCGTTTTGGGATCGACTCGGGAGATGAGAATATGGAGTACCTTCTTGGTCTGGCAGAAGAGACGGCTTAGCTTATGCTTACTCAAACCCTTTTAGCGGAGAGGAGGTGGAGTGAACGACACGGCCCCATCACCAGCATATCGCTGCTCCATCATAACATCAACCAATTCGCAGCAGTGGCAGTAGCAGGAACGGGCGCGCCGCTTGCATGCTGTGGGATTACAGCAAGCAGCAATGTTGTATGCATGTGTGTGTATAGATAATATCGAAAGCCCTGCAGTAATGACAGCAGCCTAGAGAGAGAGCACGAACCATATGCCCATGATCTGTCTAGGATATCCATGCTAGCTAGGCCTGAGTCGTGAGAAGCGTTTATTGACCGTGTCGTTGCCTATGAGCAAAGTGACTGTCGTCAAAAGTTAGATTGGGGATGCTTGCGCCGCATGATGAAATTGAATTTGACCGAACGTGCGGAGAAGCTTGCTCCGGCATGCAGCCTTGTATTTGATGGAGATTCAGGGCCATGGCTGGTACAGTATATGGCGTTGGTACTGACAAAAGGTCAATAGTGTGGCTATTTTCTGAGCCATGTGGCGTTGGCTTGGGCCAACACTATCCCGTTTTCCTGGAATTCAAGATCCTTGTCCGTAAGACAGAGAAAACGTGCGTGCTGTAGACGATGATGCTAATGATGACGATGGGAAACTGTTTTGGTAGGGCTCGACAAAACGTGGGCGGGCGGAGAAACGAAACACGACCGTCACGTCACGACTCAGTAACTGCTGTCATAGGTGCTCTATTGCCTCTATTCTGCGACTCGTGGAGACGTGTGAGGGGGAACATGCGTTTGGTTTGAGATGGGCGCCTATTTGGAGATGGCTTCAAAGTTAAGGACGCCGTTGTATCAATGTCTGGCCCTGTCGTTGGTTGGTTCGTTGGTGGAGAAAAGGGAGCAGTACGTACCCAGAACCAGCAAGGTCCAGGGCATGAGAAAGGTGAGACAAGGGCACGAGGGGGAATATGCTCTGGACGAAGCAAGCAGGGAGACGTGCGAGGGGAAACTCAACCAGGTTGATAAGGGCCATTCAGAAGCAATTGTGATGCACTAGAGACGCAAAATGGCAGAAGCGAGCCAGGAAAAGACAAGAGCGGCCGGGGCCGTGCCCCTTCTCAACGGCCGCCCTCCTCAACGGCTTCCCCCCCACAGTTTTTATGCACAGTATATCCTCTCATCTAACACTGAACATACCGTGATTTGTTACTTACAATGCTCGGTCAAGGCCCAGGCTACCAGACCTTTCACCCGACAAGGCCAAAACTTCCTCCTCCTCCAGGTTTTGTATGCATACAAAGCATAGTGAGAAACCTAATCAGTCGTGGGTGTGGCATCCCCATCGCGTGTTATTGTCGTCACGATGCCACAGGGGCCGCTACATATCATTAACCCCAATTTTTTGGTGTCGAGCAGTTTCACCAACAGCTCAATCTCAAGCATATCAGAGCATTCCAGTTAAGTTAGCAAATCGTTAAAGCGCCCAGGTTCGGCCGTAGCGAGGGGCTCACCATCAAGCTATCACTATTGCTATCACTAGGCGATCAAGGATTGTTGTCAAAGGCGCGAAAGCGCGAAACGTCCGCCTTGCTTAAACAACTTCTACTATGTTCCCTGACCGGGGAAGTCAAGATCAAAACCGAGAGTCGAGACCAAACGAGACACCAAGCTAAAAAAGACCAATACGTTCAAGTTAAAACATTTATTACCCAGGATTCAAGACCACGCGCAGGATGAGGCCCGCTTCTTTGCTGGTTAGGGTTTCTTTGATTGTTGATTTCACGACTCTTCGACATGACAAGGATGGGCATATCTCAATAACATTGGACGCGAAGCACGTTCACCATGCCCACATCTCCAATGTCTAAATCCGCACAGACTGGAGCTCATGAGTCCCCACATCCACAGAGGATATTGAGCATTCAACAGCGCATATTCTTGCGCGCAGTTTATCACCCTCACATGCCTTGCACAGTATTGTGTTCCGTGCTTCTTCGGAGGAGGGTGGTCAATTATCCTCCCCATTCGTTCCCGTTTCAACAGCAATACATACCACTATCTGACACTTCTGCCCCCCTGAAGAATGTGTGTGCTATATAGTATTTTCTATTGATTGAGACTTGCAGGCAATCGAGGCTGCCAAGCCCCCGCCCTGTCCTGGAACTACTATATCCCAAAAGGCAAACGGCTACAAACCCAACTTGAACAAGGAATTGAATTTCGCCGGTGAACCGTTCCTCCTGAGACACGCGCCCAGACGCCATTTGAGTGGTAGCTCCCTCGTCCACAAGTGCCCTGTCCCGCCGCCAATCACTCGATGTAACCATCCCAGGTGGCCACGGCGATTTTTTGAGATCTGGCAGGCCCTTGCGTCTGCTGCCTCCAAAGCAACGTTGGAGTGAATGCAGATAGCTTCATTAGGATTGTTCAGCCTTTCACGGTACAACGACTACCATCTTGAAAGCTTTTTTTACACACACACACACTCTCTCTCTCTCTCTCTCTTTCTTTTTCTTTCATTAACGACACAAGGAGGGACTTCACAGTCGGGCTTTTACGGCAAGTAATATTGTTCAATTTCGCCTTCCCACAGCTCAACAACCCTTTGAATGGCCAGGTCAAGATCAAACCATGGTTACCCATATTTCACGGTTGAAGCGATTTTGATTCTGAACATGACAAATGATGAGTGAGCACTGCGAGAAACGTTGCGCAGCCTGCTATGTACAGTATCCTCCAACAAAGGGGCCGATACTGCGAACTGGGCGACTATTTTGGCAATGTGGGCTCCGAAATTGTGTTTCGCACATCCATGATCTTAATACACGGGTATTAAGATAGTTATCAGCAGGCTCTTGCAGCACTTGAATTGACGGGCAATATAACAGACACATACATGATTGGCCCATCCGGAAAGGTCGCTAAAACGGTCTTGCAGGTGCATACTTGAAGGTGTAGTACAACTTGGGTGCACCCATGCACAAACATCAGAACCATCGTTAGGGAACCCGCCCATGGTTTGTGCCACTACATCAAGGTCAGGTTCTGCTTCTGTCTTGCACTGCTGCTCAGCAGCGAGAGAGGAAACATTATCGGAATGTTTCATAAACGTGGCCGTTGGAGGGGGGCGGGAGAGAGCTGAGACGGCAATGGTCACTGGTTCCTCAACCGCAGCGTAACCACAGACGTTGCAACGCGCCAGCAGATCGCGGCAGTTGAACGCCCAGAGTGCCATGAGCTCAGGAAGCTGAGTCGATTGGCTTCCCTGCTGGCATTCAGTTTTAGCGTTGTCCTTGATGGCTGCCGATGGGTCCCGCCCCCTGCTGTCTCAAGCACAAAGGTCCACATGTCTCCGGGTTTAGGGTCAAGTAAGCTCGAACTGGCGTGCCTTGGACTGGCTTGGGCCTTGTCTCTCCGGCCGGTAGTCCCTTTCGGGATGCTGATCGTCCCTCTTCAACCTTGACTGGGAGACACTTGGCTCACTTTGGGTAATAGCTCATTATCCCTTGGCCTGGCTCCGTCGTTGAATTGAACATTAAACGCCGATCGAAGACCCGGCTCTTTATCACCCTTTGTTTGAATCAGGAAAGCGATTCATCTCGGAACCATGCAAACGATGCATATGGACCGATTCAGAATCGCTCCCCTGATGGGAGAAATTATACGAATTAATGCGCATGAAGTTGATAGAATTCAGCGAGATGAGTTTGTAGCCCTTATCCCAATTCTTCAGTCTTGGTCCCTGATCAGAAGTGCTTGGTTCGTGCTGATCCCTGAGTTGTGGCTGCAGGGGACTTGCAGTGATTTCAACACTTATTTGACGCGCAGGTGGGTAGCAAAAAAATAGGGATTCATTATATACCAAAAGAGTGAGTGACATAAAGACTTGATCACTTCTCTAGCTACTTACCATCCTTATCTAGTCGACTATTTCTGACTGCTGCTCTTGGAATCCCGGTTTTTTTGCAACCCACCTGACGCGTTATCGGTTATAGATAGCCAGGTAAAGTGTTGAATTGCCTCCGGCTGAACTCCACTAACTAACTGTAACAGAGCCTTGGGGCTCAGGATAGACACCCATCTTGCTGCAGTAACTCATCTTTTTATGCGACGACCCGGGGTTTGAGTAGTAGAGCGGGCAAGAAACAATTAGGCAATGAAACGAAACATTGCGTTCGTAGGTAAAGTTGGCCATCCCCAGCTACCGATCGGCACCTTTGTTGAGCTAACAAGCCCAGACTAGCAGACCCTTGAAGAAATATAAATCTAGGTCTGCACTTCTACTTGCATACTGTACCTAACCATGCAAGTACCCTAGGAAAGATACCTATCAACTTTGATACTGCACAAGTTGTGCAATTATGCGGTCTTCCCGCGGGGATGAACAATCCCGAGACTTTTCAAACATCAGGCCATTTATGGCAATAGTTCGGTTTGAAATGTCGCTTCTACCTGCATACAGAGTACAAACTCACGCTAGTTAATCGTCATTTCCCAGACGTTTTAATCAACTTTGTGAGAAGAGACATCCTTGTTGTTCCATTTTGTTGGCCCACTAACTTACTGACCAGTTACTTCCATGTGCCACAGAATCCTTGTGATATTTACAGTGCGTTATGTTCAAGTACGAAAATACCTCTAAAGGAATAGGTTCGCTTTGAAGGCCTCGCTTGATCTGTGTACCTGCATCAGCCAGTCTACTCGGCGTTGACGTGGTATCGCGAGCTCAGCCCTACCGCCCTTATGTAAAGACACTTGTGTTTCGTGAGTGCGCTTGCGGCTCCTGGTTGGCAAGATCCGGTAGCATTGGGGCAGTGGGTGATCAACGCAACGCACAGGGAAGCATGAGAGAGATTCCCCGGCAGTCCGAGTTGATGCAATGCGGATGAGCTGATTTCAGTTCAGTATGTATGCGCTGGTCCACTACAGAAATGGGCATCTGGGCGAGAAACTAAGGGCGTATGTGAGAGCGCCAAAAGATACCGTTTAATTGCGGCAAGGACAAAGAGCAGCAGCCACGCATCAGCATGTGTGCATGGGAAAGGGTCTGATCCTACAACAAGAACGAGGGTTTGTAGAGCTCCCAAGCCAGCCTATCCTGGGTCCCGGGGTCTCTTTTACCTTCATATTGATGATTTTTTACCACGTCATCGGAGACTGTGGTCCTGAGGCTAGATGAGGATCAGCTCTTCCCCAGAGACACTGCCGCATTAACCATGAGCGAGATTGCTGGTTATTGCCATTATTACTTTCTGGTTCTTGGACGTTATTCACTGACGAGGAGGCCAGCCGGCAAACAAATTTGATATATTTATTGTCATGACCGAAACTAAGCTATACTTCTGCGTAACATAAAAACATGGACCTCATCAACAGTCCCATGTTCTGCGACTGTCAGCCCAGGGTCCCAGGCCCGTCAATTCCATATAGTCAATGTTATCATTGTTGGCTAGAGGTCGACCCTACCTGAGCGCGGACTTGTGCGCACATATGCAATAGCTGTGAGTAGGGCGGCGTCTGCAAGCTCCTGCACCTGAATCCCTGTTGGGTCATAGAGTTTTGGCACAGTGAGCTTCATTGTCGGCAGCGACATAGCCGGCAGTTTTGAGAGAAAGAGAGAGTCTCAAGGCAAAATTCAAGGCTAACACGGCATGTCACGGCTTATTATCCAAGCATTAACCCTTGATGCCAGCAGGTCTGGATACACATTCCTGTGCATGTACAATATACCAGCAGCTGTCGTCTTATCAAGCAACAAAGATGGTGATCCCGTGCGACACCACGTGAACGAAAGCTGGAGCACGCTTGTGCCTTACCCTCGCGTTAGCTGCTGGACCTTCTGTCGGCCGGAGCAGTGTCCGCTTGAAGAGGGTGTCTTTGTACTTGGCATCAATCGACAAGTCATCATGTGGCTAGCGGTAGGGCCTTTCACATATCCTGATCATAACATCCAGATCTCGTTTAGGTATGTGCTATGACCTCTGGAGTCAAAAAGCATACAAGTTTATCTCTCATCTCTTATCTTTGTCGCAAGTACTCCTCTATACGCTGGTCGTGTTGACTTTGACCGTCATGCCATCCTATAAGAAGAAGTACGGATAGCAGTGGTCGGCTTTATGGTTGTTGTCCTTGACTACAGTCTACGAGTGTCTACATCTTCAAGGGTCACAGTGTCGATCGGCGAGCCAGCTCACTATAGCACCAGACGATACGGTATCAAGTCAGACATTGGTCAGTTGTCCAGAGCGAGCAAAGGACTCTCTATATGGATGGATCAACAGCATCCTTGGAACGAAACATAACAGAACAAACCGATATAGGATATGCCATCCCAAGGCCAGCCGAGCTGTCTGGGATCAGGGTCGTCTGCCGAGTGAAAATCCCGACTGGCGGTCTACTTGACGTTACCTTACAATCTCCATACAGGTGGAGGAACCCACGTTTACCTTCGGTAATTGACGAAGCATCATGCTTTGTCTTTCAGAATCGGAGCATTTTCCACAAGTCTAAATGAGCTCTTGTAATTTAGAATACTAGGCATACGGCCATGTTTGAGTAATCGGCAGATCACCCAACCAGGACAGTCTCAAGTACACACTCCACATGTCCAACGGCTGTCAAGGACGAATTTGGGTTACTGCAGCGGAGCCTATCTTTGATGCCGAAGATTCTCGATGGTAGACACGAATCGAGAAACCTGATGTGCGTTGAATGGGATGGGGGGTATAGATTTAAGACTAACGTGCCGATTCAGGTTGGCGTCGCCCTTGTGGCGAGGACAACTTGATTCTCGTAGCAAGGTCAAGATACCTGCTGTAAGTAGCCGTACATAGTTATGTATTGCCGTCGCAAGGCCCGGTTGATATCACCCAGGGATCTTGGTGGAGATGGTAGATCATGCATGCATTTGCTACAGGACACATAGAATAATTTCCTAAGAGTACAGTATCTAGAGAATCTACAGTATCATTACGGAGTGAACTCCCTTGAGTCATTACTGCGGAGCCGCGCATTGCCATCCATACAGAGCTTGGCGTGATCATGAACCTGTGTGAGAACATCTGTCACCGAATAATCCAATTACCATCATCTTCATCGGAATCACCATCGACGAGGTCCTCTTCATCGTTGAGGGCCATCTGCACAAATCGGCGAATCCATGCCTCCTGTGCCGGATCCAGACCAGCTTGGTTATCCTCATCCTGACCCTGTGCCTGCTGCGGTAGTAGAGGCTGTCGCTGGTTCACTCGTTGACGATTAGCAACAGCTCCCCCGCCACGAGGCCCTCCTCCTCTCCCTCGGGCTACCGCACCTCTTCCTCCTCCTCTCCCAGCCCCTCTTGCGCCGCGTCCTCGCCCCGCTGGACCTCGAGGTGGGCCATTATGGCCGCGGCCCGCAAGTTGTTGCGGTGCATCGGGTGCAGCGGGAGGAATAGCTCTTCGACCATCACGAGCTTGATTGTCGACGAGTCGTATAACGAGGGGACCTTCGCGCGCAATCTCGATACCTTGACCCTGGCCTCCAAGCGGTCTGTTGTTGTTGTTGTTGTTGTTGTTGTTGTCATGGGCATTGACTTCGTCATCGTCGTCACTGTCTTCAGACTCGATAACTTCCGGCAGAGGCATAAGCTCAATATCATCGAGTGCCGCAGGAGCCTCTGCAACGGGACCGCGGCCACCGACGAATCCTAAGCCCACGTCGTCGCCATCGCCGCCCTCGAGTTCCCACAGCCGCATGTAACAGGAAGTGACCTTGCCGCCCGCCAGCTGGTTGTAGTGCTGGTAGGGATTCACGGGGTCAAGCCATGAAGAGCATAGGTAGCAGAAATGAGTGTCGCATCGTGAGCAGATCATGTGGTTGCAGCCGTGTGTCTTCTGCGCAGGTGCGTTGCATGTAGGGCATGGACTTGTGTGAAGCTGTAGGTACTCGAGCGATGCTTTTTCCTCCTCACTGAGTTCTCCCTTGTCACGTCGCGGTGCACAGCGGACAAATTCTCCGTGCCATGACTGGTAACATTGGCCACAAAAAGCGAAGCCACAGTCTTCGCATATAGCCAAGAGGTCTGCTCTGCTAAATGTTTCCTTATTCTTCCTCTTTTCAGACATGGCGCTATCCCCTCCCTTTTCTTTTTCTTCTTCCTCTTTGCCGGATTCAGTATCAGACGTCTCGGCAAACTCTAAGCCTTCTGGCTTCTTGTGGCGTTTCGATCGGGCCGCTCCATTACACCACTGTCGTGGACAGTATATTGTGTTTTTGTCGGACTCGAGCTCTGTCTTGTACTTGAGCGTCACATAACGCTTTACCATTTCCTCGGAAAGACCAATCTGAAGAAGCTCGCTGGGGCTGACGGCAACCTTGTGCTTCTTGGTCTCTTTCGACGCTGCGCGCTTCTTCGCGCAGTTGGGGCTCAGACATCGAACAGTAGAAAGATTGCCGTCGTTGATGGCGTCGTTGTAGAAATCCTGTAAGCACTGGATACAGAATATGTGTCTACAATCAAGCATTCTGTGACACTTGGAGCCCTTTTTGGGATCTAGATGATGTCAGTATGTGATTGAGGATGTGTGATGAATGTACATACCGAGACAGACACCACAATCAAATGTTTCCTTTTCGAAAGCAGCCTTTTTGGCTTTTATATCGTGGTCCAGCACGGCGAGTTTGTGTTCTGGATCAACCTGGAGAGTTCCCTCGGGACTGATGGTTCCGAACACGTCTTCGGCGGCACGCTGGATATGATCGATATAAGTAAACGCAACCATGTCGCGACCAATCTCATCCCACAACCGCGGTCCATCATCCTCAAGCCTCTTGATCGTTTCCCTCGTCAACCACTGCGGTATGGTAGATACCACAATATCTGGTGGCGCATCTGCAGGGTAACCCTCTGGCAGACGAACTCTCAACCGCAGAGGGGGGAGGTACGAGACTTCGAGAGAATCAACCTCAGGCTGGGCATTCTCGGTAGCTTGGCCAGGTGTAGTGAGTCCTGGATGGGCGGGTGCTGAGGCTGCTGGGAAAGTGACGGTAACTGGAGCGGCGGGCTCAACTGGTAGGTCTATCTCGAAGGTGAAGGGGTCTTTTGCGTCAGGGCGTCGGATCTCTGGGTATATAGCCTCAATAGAGCCAAGCTCTATAAGACGTGGGTCATCGCTATGGTCCATGGCTGCTTGGGGATATAGGGAAACCTGAGAGCTCCGTCCAGTATGACAGAAATTCAACAAAACTTGAGATAGTTTAGAATACACTCAGCAGGCTCTTTGATGAGTGCTTTCTTTTCGCCTCCTTTCCAATAACCTCGAGTCTTTTGACACTTCGGGGCTGCTATGAGTTGTTGTACCTTGGGAGGAGTGTTCATCCTCTAGTGGCGTAGTGTATGTAGGTAATGCACTTCAGCAAAGACTTTGACCAGAGTGGCGAGGCTGAGTAAGAAGTATGTCAAATATCAAGGGCCCTCAAATTAACCAGCCCTTATTAACGAGTTTCTGCTAGGCCTCCATCATTTTAGTTTCCTTCTCGTTCTTCCTTGTCAAGACTCGAACATGAGGTGCTTCTTTGGTGGAGGTACTTTACGTAGAGGGAGAGGGGCGAGGAGAGGGTTTTTAAGATAGTGCCCAAGATAGGGCTACTTCGGAATGACCTGTAAGTGACTGACACCGGATTGTAAAGAGGAAGACGCGGTCTTCGGCTATCAAGAAAATGGGGCAATACTATTTATGCGGGAAAGAGCATTGTAAAGTAACGTAGATGACTCTTTTGCCATCGTTGAATATGGTAACGTCTTGTTTCGGTATCCGGTATTCACAGCGTTGACAAATAAGAGACTCCGAAATCCGAGACGCCACGTTTTTTCCTCCGGCCTTAGCCACATATGCAGCCACAGCCGCAGGCTGCATCGTCGTCTACAGCACAAGCTTAAACTTGGACTTCACCTTTCGATTACTTTTAACTCGTGATTGCCCCAAGCCTTTTCTCTGTTTTTGATACAAACTGTGGTAACCAGAGTCACTGTGGCGCCATACCAGGAGAATGCAGTCTTTGTCTATATCTTGAACCTCTCGGACACCGCATATAGCCAGCTCATCATGGACGACAGTTCAACTCCCCTCGCTTCCCTCTCCGTCACACACGTTTACTACGTAAGTTTCACGCCTACACAAAAAAAACCTGCAAATAACACTCACAAATAGGACCCAAACGATCATGTCTCCCTCGCCTGCGCCTACCTCGCCCTCCTCCCCCAAGCCCTCTGCGTCGTTTACGCCACGCTCGTCCTTTTCACACGCGAGGTCGAAGTCGCCTTGATGTTTCTCGGTCAACTAGCCTGCGAGGTGCTCAACTTTGCCCTGAAACGGCTAATAAAAGAAGAGCGTCCGCGTCGCATACACGGCAAGGGCTACGGCATGCCTAGTTCCCACGCACAATTCGTTGCCTTCTGGAGTGTCTCACTGGCTCTGTTCCTGCTTGTCCGCCACAAGCCGCCTCGTGTACACCAGGTTCGCGCAGAAAGTAGCTTAACCCGACCGTGGAGTGTTCCCGAGAGAGTTGCTGTGAGTGTGGCTGCGGCGGCGATTGCGGCGGCGACGGCATGGAGCAGAGTGTATCTAAACTACCATACCCCTAAGCAGGTCGTTGTGGGCAGTGTTGCAGGTGTCATAAGCGCTCTCGGGTGGTTCGTTATTATTGCTGCCGTGAGGCAAACCGGCTGGTTAAACTGGGCTCTAGAGACGCCTTTGGCGAGAGCTTTCAGAGTTAGGGATCTTGTCATTGAAGAGGACATGTGTCAGGCTGGTTGGGAGAAGTGGGAGGAAAAGAGAGTTACTGCTCGATCGACAAAGAAAGACAGATAGTCATCAATGAATTGATAACAACAGCCACACGAGACTGACTACTAATATAAAGTTACCTGTATCCATCGTTGGATTCCGCGAGACCGTGCTCACTGTAGGTGACCATCTGGCATTCGAAATGTTACTGAGGATGTCCGCCTAAGCTTCTGGTATTATCTATATATAAATGGGACCAAATCTCGACGCTAGTTCCAAGACGGCCTAAATATGAAAACACAAAGGGAATCGTTACAGTTGCCAAACCGTTCATGAAATCGTCATCCTCCCCATTTGCCCTATCCGCTTTGTCCTCTATCAAATCCATGGTCCTTTTCCTTGTGTTGTCTCTGGGTCGATTCTTGACCCTTGACGACTATGTACTCTGCCCGTCTCTGGCCCAGCCCTTGAGCCCTGTCGGCTATGCATTCGGCCAATCTCTGGTACGACCCTAGAGCTCTGACGGCTGGCTAGCCTGCTTGGCTCTCCCATACTTCTTGAGCCCTGTCGGCTATGAGCTCTTACAGAACTGACTGATCCCGCCCTGGGATTATGTGAGGCTGAGACGGGCGTTTGCTCCTGAGGGCTATATACAGCGGAACTGAGAGTTGTCTCCGGCGGAGTATTCATACCCGCGCTGAGGGGAACCGGTGGAAGTTCCTTCTCGGATAGTCTCTCATCGAAGTTGTCCTGGATCTTGTACCTGGTGCCCTCGCCTGGGACGTCGACGATGGCAATGGCAAGTGGACTTGTTTTTCTTGGGAAGAACCTTACTGTACTGTTGGGACAGTCGAGGTTGTGCACTTGGTTTGTATTTGTGTCTAGTTTGAGCTCCGGTTTGGCGGGGCGCATGTCACCGATGTTGGAAAGGCGCAGGCCAATCTGCACAGTTGCCGTCGAGAGCATAGAAGCGCCACTTGACCGGAATCTTTTGTCCGGTAGACGGAGAGCAGGCGGTGCAAGAAGGTCGTCAGCTAAGTTTTGAAGCGCTGGGGTCTTTTTGGGTGTGGAATCTTTGTAGGTTGTTGTCGGCAATAGGATGGGCGACTTGGGTGGCTCGGCTTTGGGGAAAATGCTGTACATGCTCCTCTTGAAGTTTTTGATAGACTCCTTTGATGACGCCCGTACGGGTTTTGGTACGGTTGGAAGACCGCCTGAATTACGCATACTGCCTAGGCGTAGGGGCTTCAGGCCACGGTTGAGAAAGTCCTTGCGTGCACCAAACACTTTGTCTTCCACTCTGTCGTCTGCCGTCAGATCTTCTTTGCTTTCAGCCTTGCGAACCAGCTTAGGAAGATCAAGAGGCTGTAGCATCGCTGACCCAGGGGTTGGGGGCTCTTGATCTTGGTCATCACCCCATTTTCTGAAACCCTGAGACGCTTCAATATCGTCATCAGAACAACCAGTTGGGGATCTGCTTGATCGCAAGAAAAGATAAAGACAACCAAGCAATAGTCCTGACATGTTCATTACAACTGTTCCGATCATGTTCAGCGTCATTGACGTCTCATCTGCTGCCCCTGTATCTCGGAACGCCGTATTGTAGAAGAATGTTATCTGCAAAGTCTGTTCGGGATTAGCACAAGCTATCACTTTGAGATTCATGCTTACATATGATATCACGGCAATTACCATATGGTAAACCATGCGAGATGCCTCATCCCTCTCAGCAATGCGCATTCTGGCACCAGTATGAAGCTTGAAGCATATAACACCGCACTCAATGAGAACAATCAGGATGACAGTGAGTAAAACCCCAAAACATCCTGCATCGTATCGATGTAGGAAAGAGATCAAACTGGCAAAGCAAAACTCCGATGGCAGAACAGCAAAGGTTATGGAGAACACGATGAGCAACAAGGTACCGGTGGTTACTAGACAGGCAAGGGTGTTGAATTTGCCACGGAAGGGGAATATGCTCGGCCTCGTAATACGGATTGTCAACTCCAGCCCGAACAACATCTGAATGAAGGGAACGATGAAGAAAGCTGAAATTGGATTAGTATCTTCAAGTGAAAGCTCATTATTGTTTCAACATACCTAGCAGCATCATTCGCGATATCGTGGCACACCCAAGGATCATAAGTGACTCAAGTCCCTTGGCTTGAGCAGTAGCATACACAATTCCCTGAACTACAATGCCCAAGGAAAGTACGAAGGGGTAAATATCTCGTCCTTTGACTAGCCGAAGCCAAGATGACCTAAGAGTGACTGTGAGAAGAAATCTTGCGGATCCGGAAAGGCAGTACGTACTTGAAGTCCCATATCGGTTCGACTTGTTTTAGTGTTTTCCATGATCGCAAAAGAATACTGATAGTAACTGCGAATGCTACTATCACGTTGAAAACCGATAAGACGATGATCGAGGTGCGGACCGAGCCAGCTGCAGCAAACTTGAGTTCGTTATCCCATTTCGATGTAGAATTTGCCTGGAACTGAAAGCCGGTCGAGTCCATCGTCGGGTCGTTATCCATATTTTTGTCGTTTTCTGGTCCAGTTCGAGGTATTTGTCAAGTTAAGGGCAGGCGTCAAGCCTTCACAGTGCCGGCACCGCGTTGTCCTTCTTGGTAGACCTAGTTTCCCATGTCGATGTCGAGGTCGTTTGAAAGTATCGAAAGAGGGCTAGGATGCCAAAGGGAAATGAGAGATGATGAATGAAATGGAGAAGCACCGAGATATGATAGCAGGAACCAGAATGACCTCCAGGCGTATACTTGGTCAATTGAAAGCAGAGCAAAGTTTGAGAAGCAGTAGATAGATGATCAAACACACGAGATGTACCGTAAAAATGAAATACAATGAAATGGCAATGGCACCTGGCCTGTGGCAAACGAATGTAAGATTGAAAAAAAAAAATCAAGAAAAGAAACGAAGATCAGACAAGCACCAACTGGGTGGGAGGAGACTGAGGCAATGGAGGCGATATAGGACTTGATATCTCGAATTGAGGGCAAATCACATCGAGCGGGAACGCAGATTGCCCTAGATCCGGCGAGCTTGATGACCCCTGCGCGACTCAGAAAACTCCAAAGAGCAAGGATCAAGCTGCTTCATGACGGAGCTTGGTAGCATCGAAGCTGTCGCCCCTGACAGATGGTGGTGAAGAATGGTAGCCAAGCGAGCCAAGCCAGGCCCTTGGTGTGGGCTAGAGGCATTTCCCGCATTGGAGCGAGAAGGGTATTGTTTCACCCGTGTAGATTGGGTTTCTGGGATGCTGATTCTCGAATACGCTGACGAAATCTGTGTAAGAGAATGCTACTCCACCACGAGATTGAGTTCCTTGGGCTCGATCATCTGTGCCATTCTCACTTGAGCTTTGACTATGATCGACCTCGAATGAAAGCCACAACTGAACTGCTTCTCAAGGTCCTCCTGACAGTGATACTTCACCACTGAGTGAGCTTCTTGAAAGAGTGCTCTAAGGGCGGCGAAAAACGCCGGCTCGAAGAGGCTGAAGCATTGTTGTTACAGAGTCAAGTTTCGTCGGGTTGTAAGAGGCAGGAGTTCAAGGGAAGCAAACGGTGGGGTTAATCCGCATCCGGGTTAGCGTTCACGTTTGTCCGTTTTGTGCAACTACGCCGTGGATTTAAAACAAGAAGGAAACATGGATTAGGGAGGGATCCCCTTTAGCATGAGAGCTAACAAGAAAATGACTAAAGGGCCAAGAGCTTAGACGAGTGCCATTTCCTCTTCTGGAACAGAGCGTTTGAGATTCCAATGGCAGGTCACACGGATCCTGCTGGTGCCGAAGGCGGGGAGAACGGCTGGCCACGAGACGATGGATACAGGGACGTTTCGCAAGGATCAGAGCCTGCACCCGGTAACAGATCTGTCAAAGGAGCCATGCGAACGCCTAAAGCTACCTGTACGGTGGGAGAGCACTAGCTGGCTAGATTACAGCTGGAAGCGAGTCAAGTTCATTAAGAGCCTTGTCTAGGCCTCTCTAGCATCTGTCTGTATCTGCGGACCCGGTGGTTGGTTCTCCATTTTGTTGTTTCAAGCCTTTCCACTTCATCTTTGAAACCCACAGCTCTGTAAGCGAGGACATGCAGACCGGGTCAAGGTTCAAATGCCGAACTCTTGGCAGTTCGTGTACCTAATTCCATAGCAGCTATCGACTCGTAAATTGACAAGTATTGTGCGTCTGTTCTTATTAAGAATACCGAGTCGTCCGTCCGGGAGCATATTAAACTGGGGAAGAGCACGCATCCAAGTGGAGGATGTCCTGTATCTAATATAACTGTGAAGAACCCATCGATCTCTTGAATGAGGAGAAGTTTCATGAACATCTGGCCCTAGACTAGTACAGTATTGGAAATCGACTTGATAGCGAGTTTGCGATGACTAGTATCATTCATGGAGTCTCCGTCTAATGGTTTCCCAGGATCTATCAGTCAATGCTTATGTGACTGACTTGCCCTTCCCACTCCTGTTGATGGGGAATGATGGGGAAATAAGAAAAGTCAAGGCTTTTATCCTATCCTAAGGGATAAAACTACTTGGATAAGTTTAGGATAACTTGGCCAGCTATAGTATGGACTTAGGGAGCCTTTTGATTAATTCATTTCAGCACCCTGATTATATGTCTTACTGTGTAAGTCTTGTTGCTTTCTAGGGATGGTCTATCATGGATTTGCCACTCTTTGCTGTTTCCTCATACGTCAGGCCTAGAAGCATAGTGAAGTGAGAGATGTTTCCTCCTCAAACAAGTACTCCCGGAAAGTGTCTGAATTATAGCTATGGGTGCTATAGCAGACAGTCAGTGGCTTGCAAAGTGTTTGATTAGAAAGACTTAATGGTCGGTATTAACTACAAGAAGCACCCAAGCATTTATATGTAATTTCGTGTCCACCATACCTGCTCTTCATCCTATCTTCTTGTAATGGATGCTTAAAACGAAGGTGTTACTGAGTGCTAAGCATGGGGTCCGGATGACAGGTCTCTTATTATAGCTTTGCTGCAGTAGCTTCACTTCCATCTTCGACTTGGCACCCCTTTCTATCTTCCCGTAATGCAAGATGAAGATGCATACTTCATCTTTATGATATGTATCGAGCAATTCCAATTTTAGGTGCTTTCGCGTCACAGGAGAAACTATCAACAAACAGTCTGGCTGTTCATTCTTGCTTAT